GACTTCCCCCTTATATAAAATTAGGGGAGGAAGGAAGGAGAAACTAAGTTATCTCTAAGTTACCTTCCAGCTATAACAGTCTGTGATTCTAATCTGAGTCCTTTCTCTATTTGTTCTTTGCCAGCAAAGTTCCCCAGTAGCCTTGGCCAAATAACATCCTTCAGAGGACCTCAGTTTTCTGTCTGTAAAATAGGAGTAATATGGATATTTCTGTACAAAAATGGTTTAGTGATTTATCCCATGGCCCATTTTGGGCATCATATTGTACTTCTACAGGGATCCAAGGATGGCCGCCCTGGGCCAACTCACGGTGAATCCAGGTCAGTCACAGGAGTACCAAAGTTTGATGGTGGACAGTAGTCCATCTTCCCTGCCATCTTTCTCGTAGCCTCCATTCCTTTCCTGCCTAGCTCTCCTTCATGGGCAGTCAGGGTGGCCTTCCCGAAACAGAGCCCTAGTCATGTACATCTCTTGCACAGATATCTTTAATAGCTCCCCATGGCAGTCATGAAGGTCTGAACTTAGGCAGTAGGAATAAAAAGGAGGGGATGAGAAAGATTGAGCAGGTAAAATTATAGGAACTGGTGTCTGAAATCCCATGCACTCAAGCTCTTGCTAGCTATGCTGTGCCCTGGCTCAGAACTGAAATATAATATCACAGTGGACTCCTGATGGTGTGGATTGGTCTAGACAGATCTAGGCCAACATGGAAAAGCAAGTGAGATGCCAAGAGGGATACTAGAATCAGCTTTCTTCTTTTTGTTCTCCTAAAGCGACACCTTTGAAGAGCCCTGGCATTTTCCCTGGTTAAGAAAAGCCTCCTGCAGGCTTCAAAGAAGCTCCTCCCTTCCCTGCTGGAAAATTTCAGCCACTCCCCTTTGCATTCTGACTTTAGCATTCTTCACAGCTCTGACTGCAGTGCTGTCATGATGAGAAGTCTGGATCGCTGCATTTGGCCTCGGGTATGGTGGGCTCTGCAGGAGAGCCAAACCCCTGCACCTTGATGGTTGGTTATAGAAGTTGGCTTCTCACTCATAGCAAAGTCTAGGACCCTGGGGTGACTACCACTGTTAAGAACTTTAATAATGCAGAGGGTTCAGTGAAAAAATTTCTGCATTGGGAGTCAGGAGGTCTGGGTTAGTTCCTAGGATCTGTCCGGTGTGGCTGTGTGACTCTGGGGGACATATTTAATCTCTCTGGGCTTCATATTCTTCCCCTGCAAGGATGAAGAACTGGGAAAAAGTTATCTCTAAATGCCATCCTATTCTAAAATTCTAAAATAGTGATTCACTGCATGTTGTCTCTCTGCTGGGCCCTGTGCTAGATGTGAAGAATATGAAAATGAAAAAATAATAATAAAAGTTAATGTTTATTGAGTGTTTAAATATGTGCCACAGATTGAATTAACTATATACAGTGTTTTGTTCAGTTCTCAGAATATCCCTGTGAGATCAGGTTTGTATCAGTTTTACTGGCCTTGTGAAAGGACCATTTCTTGGTCCTCCCCCTGTTTCCCCAGATTGGGCCCCTGCTCTCTTAGACTGACCTGGAGAGCATTGATGTGAGAGAACCACTCTAGGTGCTCTGCCAGGAACACCTCTGCTATGGCAGTAACTAGGCTGTTGGCTGTTAGATAGGGGTGACTTAAGACATGTAAATAGATCCCCACCTCATTTTTTTCTTTAAAAAAAATTTCTACCAAATAGCAAGATTTATTCTAAATCTCCAATAATTAGGACAGTGTGGTATTAGCTCAAGAATAGGCAAATAGCCCAATGGAGCAGGATAAAGAATATAGAAACAGATCCAAGTATCTCTGAACATTTATTATATGACATAAGTGACACTGAATTGCAATGGTGCTGGGGTACTTGGGTCAATTGGATTGAATAGTCATGTGAAAAAAACTGACTTGACTCCTATTTCACACTGTACACAAAAAGCACTTAAAATGATTGTAGATCTAAATGTAAATATTAAAATAATTAAACTTTAGAAGATAACATACAAGAATATCCTCATGATCTTAAGGTAAGCAAAGATTTCTTAAACAGGACACAAAAGTCACTATAAATATAAAAGAAAAAAATGAGTAAATTGGACTACATTAAAAATAAGAATTTTTGCTCATCAAAATGTACCATTAAAAAGTGAAAAAGGAAGACACAGGGAGGAAGAAGATATTTGCAACATGTACGTTTAACAAAGGATCATGTCTAGAATATCGAAGGAACCTCTGCAAATCAGTAAGAGAAAGGAAGGCAACCCAATCTAAAAAATGGGCAAAATACTTGAATAGGCAGGTTATAAAAGAGAATATCCAAATGGCCAGTGGACATATGGGAACATGCTCAGGTTCAGTAGACTTAAAGGAAATGCAAGTTAAAGTCTCAATGCATTACCACCTCATACCAACCAGAATTGCTAAAAGAAACCGACCAGAAAACCTGACTATACTAAGTTTTGTAAGTATTGGCAAGAATGTAGAGCAACTAGAACGTTCGTGTACTGCTGGTGGGAGTCTAAATTGGAAACCACTTTGAAAAACAGAGAACTTATTAAAGATGAACCTCTACATTGTCTGTAACTCAGTAGTTCAAGTTCTGGGTATATCCCCAACAGAAATACATACATATGTTCACTGAAAGATACATGCAAAAACATTGGTAGCAATACTGTTTATAATGGCTCCACACCGGAAACAACTCTAATTTCCACCTACAGTAAAAAGGATAAATAAACTATAACATATTCATATAATAGACTTACTAGGGCAATGAGAAGGAAAGAATTCCTGTTTCACCTAAAACATGATGAATCTTACAAACATAATGAGTTAAAGAAGCTGGACAAAAAAGAGAACATAGTATATTATTCCATTTTCATGAATTTAGAAAAAAGGCAAAATGAGCATATGGTTCTAGAAGTCAGACTAGTGGTCACCAATTTGGGAGGCAGGAGACTTTTGGGGGTGCTGGTAGTGGTCTGTTTCTTGTTCAAGATACTGTTTATACAGGTATTTTCACATTGAAAATTCATTGAGCTGTGTACTTATTTATGCATTTTTAGTATGAACATTGTAAAAACATTTTTACTAAAAAATTTTAAAAAGCAAGGTAGATTTTAAGATTCTAACTTTGAATTGATAAAAGATTCATGTTATTAAAAATTCAAAAAATATAGAAGGGAAGTAGTTAAAAAGTCTCCTTCCCATCCCTGTGCCCCAGCCATACAGTTCCCTCCCTCATAGGCAGCCAATGGTATTAGTATTTTTGTGTATCCTTCCAGAGTTAGTTTTTGATATGCAAACAAATAAATATGTAAGTAATTAAACACACACATCTATTCTCCCCCACCCACCCTTTGTATATGTATGGCAATATTCCGAAAACATTATTCTACAGTCTGCTTTTATCATTTAATTTATCTTAAAAACCTTTCTGTATCAGTACATAAGGAAGTTCCTTATGTCTTCTTACAGCTGCATAATGTACTATTGAATGGATGTGCCATGTTTTATTTAACAAGTTCCCCTCCTGATGGGCATTTAGGTTAAATTATTTCTGGTTGAGAAGCTTTCTTGATCCTGTTCTATGTCGTGTTACATATCTGTTTTCCCAGGGCTCATACTTTTTACAGCAGTTTGCACAGGTTGATATGTAGTGAAGCAATACTTTATATGAAAGAGAAGGGTAGAAATAAAATAATTTGTCTGCCTCTAAGTTTTTAAAAGGAAGGCTGTCTAAATAATTGGACTGCAGAATTTCAAAGCTAGGAGGGCTGGAAGAGAAGTAATTCTGCACTTTCTTGTGATTAATTTCTTTAAGATTCAGATGAAAGTTAAGATTCTCTCCTTAGAAAAAGTGTGCACCCATGTAAAATTTTGCATATAAGTTTTGGGGTTGACACACCCCTTGAAATTCCTTTATGGATTCTAGATTAAGAATCTGTTGGGAGGGCTTCCCTAGTGGCACAGAGGTTAAGAATCCGCCTGCCAATTCAAGCCCTGGTCCGGGAAGATCCCACATACCACGGAGCAACTAAGCCCAAGCGCCATATCTACTGAGCCTGCACTCTAGAGCCTGTGAGCGGCAACTACTGAGCCCGCCTGCGCCCATAGAGCCGGTGCTCGGCAACATGAGAAGCCACCGCGATGAGGAGGAGCCCGGGCACCGCAACAAAGAGTAGCCCCCGCTCACCGGAGCTAGAGAAAGCCCGTGCGCAGCAACAAAGACCCAACGCAGCCAAAAATAAATAAATTTATTTAAAAAAAAAAAAGAATCTGTTGGGAATTCCCTGGTGGTCCAGTGGTTAGGACTGTGTGCTCTCACTGCCAAGGGCCCAGGTTCACTCCCTGGTCAGGGAACTAAGATCCCACAAGCTGAAGCAGCCGCATAGCACAGGGAGATCAGCTCGGTGCTTTATGACTACCTAGAGGGGTGGGATAGGGAGGGTGGGTGGGAGAGAGACGCAAGAGGGAAGAGATATGGGAACATATGTATATGTATAACTGATTCACTTTGTTATAAAGCAGAAACTAACACACACACAAAAAAATAAAAAAGGATTCTTTATTTCCTGTAAAAAAAAAAAAGATCCCACAAGCTGTGCAGCATGGCCCCCCCCAAAAAAATCCTCAAGAATCTGTTATCTAGCATAACCCCATTAATATAAAAATTGGGAAACTGAGGGCCAGATTTGGAAGGTGAGTCTCAAAACTAGTTAATGGCAGAAGACAGTCACATGTATTTATGTTAAATAATGCCAGCAATATTCCCTCTCCTTTCATTGACTGATGCTACAGCCCAGTGTCAAGGGAGGCTGCCCATTCCTTCCCAGGAAAAGTTCAATTTATAGGTAGGGTAACCTGAGAGAAAAATGGTAAACAAGTTTAACTGAAAGATTGATTTTTTTAATGTATATATATATCAAGATGGTATGGTTAGAATTTCTTGTACAATACTTTGATTTAGTTTCTTTCTCTTTTGTTTCCTGTTTAGCCCAGGAAGAAGAGGGGAAAAGTGGAAGTGAGACCCATTAATTTGGGGACAGATTATGAATATGGGGTTTTAAACATTCACCTGACTGCATATGATATGGCCCTGGCAGAGAGTTATGCCCAGTATGTTCACAACCTCTGCAACCATCTCTCCATTAAAGTCGAGGAAAGGTATGAAAGATGCCTTTGCATGGGATGTTCTTGGTGTGGGTAGTATGCTCTTGGTGTGGGTAGTATGCTCTGCTTTGTTATTGTTAAATGAAGTTTTGAGATATAATTTACATGTAGTAAAATTCACTCTTTATACATATATAGTTTGCCACCATCAAAATATAGAACAAGTCCATTAAGTTCTTAAAACAAAAAGTTCCTGGGTGCCCAAGGTGTAGTCAATTTCCTCTCTCTTTCCTCTCAAGTCCCTGGCAACCACTGATTGATTTTCTGTCCCTATTGTTTTAAGTTCTCCAGAATATCATATAAATGGAATCATACAGTATGTAGCTGTTTGTTTCTGGACTCTTTCACTTAGCATAATGGGTTTAAGATTCATCTGGGGTTTTGCAAGTATTCTGTTGCTGAATAGTATTGCATTAAATGGTGAACCTTAATTGGTTTATGCATTCACCAGTTGATATACATTTCGATTGTTTCTAGTTTATTGGTAATTATGAATAAAGCTGCCATAAGCTTTCTCATACCAGTTTTGTAGGGGCATGTGTCTTCCTTCCTCTTCAATAACTACCTAAGCCTGGGATTGTTGGGTTTTATGGTGAATGTGTGTTTAACTTTATAAGAAACTGTCAAACTTTTTCCAGAGTGGCTGTCCTATTTTGTATTCCCACCATCAATATATGAGAGTTTCAATAACTCCTTACCCTGGTCAGCACTTGGTTTGTCACATTTTTTTAAAGTTATTCTAGGAGATATATGGTGGTATTTCATAGTGGCTTTATTTTCTTCTTCTTCTTCTTTTTTTTTTTTTTGGCTGCACTGCGCGGATTGTGGGATCTTAGTTACCTGACCAGGGATCGAACCACTGCCACGGCAGTGAAAGCGCCGAGTCCTAACCACTGGACCGCCAGGGAATTCCGCATACCACACTATCTTGATTACAGTAGCTTGATTACTGAAAAAGCAACTTTGTTCTTTATTCAAAATTATTTTGGCTATTTTAGGTCCCTGGGTTTTTCATTAAAATTTTAGAATTAGCTTGTTGATTTCTACAGAAAAGAGCCTGATGGAATTTTGGTGGGGTGTGTTGAATCTGAGGATCAATTTGAGGAGAATTGACATCTATTTTGAGTCCTCTGATCCATTAACATGGTATATCTCCCCATTTATATAGATATTCTTCGCCTCCTCTGCTTTTTACATACTCTGGGTTTGCTGGAAAACTGTAGGGGAGGAGAACTAACATTTACTGACTATCCATGCCAGGCCAGGCACTTTACATATCTTATCTCAATGTTTGAGTAAGTGTGGGATGCCCTGTGGTTTGCCTTAAATAACATTAAATCACATGGTGAGAAATTTCTTCCCTTTTTAATTCTTTTTAAACCTAATTATGTGAAGGAGAAATTCTTAGTGTTGTGCTGGTATGTCCTTAACACCGCTGAAGTACTTCCTAATCTTTATAAGAAAGAGGGGACCTCAGGCTCAGAGTCTTTGGCAAACACCACCATCTAGCTAGAATTTAATAACATTGTTTTGTTTTCACTGTATTTATTTTTAGCTTAACTTCTTTTTTTTTGCGGTATTTGGGCCTCTCACTGTTGTGGCCTCTCCCGTTGCGGAGCACAGGCTCCGGACGCGCAGGCTCAGCGGCCATGGCTCACGGGCCCAGCTGCTCCGCGGCATGTGGGATCTTCCCAGACCGGGGCACGAACCCATGTCCCCTGCATCGGCAGGCGGACTCTCAACCACTGCGCCACCAGGGAAGCCCTTAACTTCTTTATATGTCAACTGATACTCCTTTCTCTATTTACTATAGTGATATAAAGTCAGGCTTATTGAGGTATAACTTACGTTAGTAAAATTCACCCTTTTAGTGAACAGTTTCTGTGAGTTTTGACAAATGCATGCAGTAGAATAAATACCATCATAATCAGGATATAGAACATCTTCATCATCCCAAGAAGTCCCCTCCTCCCTTTGTAGTCAATCCCTTGTCCCACCCCCAGTCCCTGCAACTATTGATTTATTTTATGTCCTTGTAGTTTTGCCTTTTCCAAAATGTCATATAAATGGAATCATACAGTATTTTTCCATTTGAGTCTGGCTTCTTTCACTTAGGATAATGTATTTGAGATTCATCCATGTTGTTGCCTGTGTAAAGTAGTTTGTTCCTTTTTGTTGCTGAGTAGGATTTCATTGAGTGGATGTACCACAGTTTGTTTATTCATTTGAAGGACATTTGTGTTGTTTCCAGTTTCGGGCAGTTACAAATAGAGCTACTATAAACGTGTACAGGTGTTTGTGAGAACAGAAGTTTTCATTTCTCTAGGAGTGTGATTGCTGGGTCAAATGGTAAGAGTGGTGTATTTTTATTTTTATTTAGTTTTAAAATATATTTATTTATTGGCCACATTGGGTCTTTGTCGCTGCATGCGGGCTTTCTCTAGTTGCGGCAAGCGGGGACTACTCTTTGTTGTGGTGAGTGGGCTTCTCCTTGTGGTGGCTTCTCTTGCTGCGGAACATGGGCTGTAGGTGTGCGGGCTTCAGTAGTTGTGGTGTGCAAGTTCAGTAGTTGTGGTGCGCAGGCTCAGTTGCTCTGCAGCATTTGGGATCTTCCCGGACCAGGGCTCGAACCCATATCCCCTGCATTGACAGTCAGATTCCTAACCACTGCACCACCAGGGAAGGCCTGTACTTTTAAATTTGTAAGAAACTGCCAAGCTGCTTTCCACAGTGGCCATACCACTTTTCACTCTAACCAGCAACACGAGTTCCAGTTGTTCCACATCTCAAGTTTCTTTTTAAAATTAATTTTTAAGTGAGTTGATTTAAAGAAAAATATTTAATAAATAATAGTTTGGGTGGTTGGTTTGCCATTGTAGCAAGGTAATACGTGGCATCATATGTGGATATGGCAAAAATTATACTTTCTTACTCACTAGATATTAGTATATTCCAATTTTATAGATGAGTAAACCAAGGCTCTGAAAGGCCAAAATTCACAGAACCAGTAAGTTGCCTGGATTTAACCCAGTTCTCCCTGACTCCAGTATTTTTAATTATATAGTATTTTAAGTCTTTAAGCCAAATTTGAACTTTTAAACCTTTATTACTTAGAGTATAACTGTGCTAAATGTGCTTCTTAGAAGATTGGATAATCAGCTGTGACTTTAGCTCTCACAGCTGATAGTACTTCAATTGTTTTAGGCCTAAAGATGTACTTTATCTTTTTCTGATGCCCCAGAGAGTTGGTTGCTCTTTCAGCACTTGACACATACCTCTGTCATGTCACTTAGTGCTCTGGGCTGTAATCATCTATTCATTTGCCAGCTCCCTTCCCCCCTGACTTGTGTTCTTCTTCATTTCTTCAGTACCTAGCATAAAGCCTGCCACATGGGGAACATTAAGCCATTCTTGAAAGAATGACAGGTTCTTGAATATGACTACACAATCCAGTTGTGTAGTATACATTTCCTAAAGTTTAATGAAAGTGCTTTTAAGTACTTAATTAAAGAACTGCTGGTTGAGCCTCTTCTTGTGGTAGGCATTGGACTAGACATTCTGACTGGAGGATACAAAGGTAAATGCCCGATTTCAAGGAGAGTGTGTGTATATGTGTGTGTGCACACATACACACACCAAAAAAATAATTATAACATAATGTGGAAGTGATAAGTGAAAGATAAAGTTGAATATCAGTTCAAGAAGGCAGAGTAGCATAATAATTTAGAGCAATGCTTCTCAAAGTACCACTCTGCAAAGATATTAGGAGCTTATGCCAAAATGTACATTAACGCTTTGCTTCCTTCATCAAGAAACTCTTGCTATTGAAAACAAAATGTTGATTGAATTAAAGTGTGTTTACTGACTGGTTCATGCTTCTTATCTTGTCTTGAACTGATAACAAGCAGTTTGCTTACCAGCAGCTTGTCTTTGGATCACACTTTGAGTAACAAGTGGTTAAGAGTAAAAGCTCTGGAATCAAACTGTCTGCATTTAAATCCTAGTTCTACCAGTTATTAGCAATATGACCTTGAGAAATTCTGAACCTCAGTTTCTTTGTCTTCATAATGGGGATGGTAATTTTCCTATTTCTTTGAGTTCTGAAAATTAAATAAGAAAATATATAATAGCACTTAACAGAACGTTGTAAACACTCTATAAATAATATTATTGTTATTAGTAATTAATGAGATGTTTTTCAGCTGGCAGGGATTAGGGGCAGCATCTCAGACGTGGTGGTGGCAAAGAGGCATTAAATGCCATTTACAGAATGTTATCATACCTACAGTGGATCAGCTCCTTGGAATAGTGTTTTAAATTTTCAGAAGGACTTTTTAAAATATTTTGTTTTTAATACCCTACTGTGAAAAGCTCTGGCTGCATTTGAGTAAAGGCAGGCAGGCAGTAACATTTGTTGAGCACCTACTATCATAACAGCCAACCACTCTGCTAAATACTTTTTTTGTGTATTACTTTACTTAATTCAGACAAGCACCTTGCCATAGTGTATCAAAGCATTGATTCTGCAGCCAGACTGCTTAGGTTTTGCTCTTGTTCTGCTACATTCTTACTGTGTGACATTGGGCAGTTTCCTTAACCTCTTTGTGTCTTGGTTTCCTCATTTGTAAAATGAGGTTAATAAAAGTACCTATCTAATAAAGCTATTGTGAAAATAAAGGGAGTTAATATATTTAAAATGCTTACAACTAAGTCCAGAAACTTTGGCTGCTATTATTATTGTTATTATTATTAATAATATAATAAAAGCTTGCCTATAGTCGTAAATGGCAAGGTCTGGATTTGAACCCACTTCTTTTCCTCCAAATTCGTAATTCCCTCTAACTGGTTCTCCACACTGCTTTTAGTGTAATCTTTCTAGAATGGAAATATGATCATGTCACTCTCATGCTTAAATTCCTTCCATGGCCTCCCATTCCTTTAGGATCAAAATAAAAGTTTCTCACATACCTTGCTAGGTGCCCCATGGCCTGGGCTTGCCTCTCTCACCTTAACTCACACTTCTCTCTCCCTCTCCTTCTATCTCCAGTTACACTGACTTTGTTTTTTGTCCTTTCCCACCTCAGGACCTTTGCATATGCTCTCTGAAGCCTAGAATACTCTTTCCCCTTCAGCTAATCAGCCCCTATTTTTTTCTTAGGCTTTATTTTAAATGTCACTTCTTCAGAGAACCTCATTAAGTTAGGTCTGTATGTTATATATTTAGGAGAAGTAAAGGGTATATTCTTCCCTGGTGGTGCAGTGGTTAAGAATCCGCCTGCCAATGCAGGCGACATGGGTTCAAGCCCTGATCCTGGAAGATCCCACATGCCGCAGAGCAACTGAGCCCATGCGCCACAACTACTGAGCCTGCGCTCTAGAGCCCTTGAGCCACAACTATTTAGCCTGCGTGCCACAGCTACTCAAGCCCGTGCACCTAGAGCCTGTGCTCTGCAACAAGAGAAGCCACCGCAATGAGAAGCCCGTGCACCACAACGAAGAGTAGCCCCTGCTCGCTGCAACTAGAGAAAGCCCGCGCGCAGCAATGAAGACCAAACACAGCCAAAAATAAATAAATTTATTTTTTTAAAAAAGGGTATATAACTTCCCTTTCAAAATGCTCATTCCTTACTCTCATAATTACTTGACTATTATTAGACTCTAAGATATGTAAGGCAGGGATGGTTTCTGTCTTCATCAGCAGTCACGCGAAGACCTTGCCCAGTACCTGACACATAGTAGGCACTGAATGAATATTTGTTGACTTGGATTGAGTTCCAGTAGGCATGAAAATGAATTCTAGGATAACAAAATGAATAATGTGCTGCTTTTTGCCTCTTTCCTGGTTCTTTGCTCCACATAGTAGAGCATAAAGAGATGTTCACTTTTAGCAATTCACTTCTCTGCACTGATTGAGGTTTTCAGACCATCATATCAGGCATTCTTACTGCCCAGCTTTTCAGAGATAAAATGATTTTCTTTTCTTCTGATTTTCATTTTATCTTGATCCATTTTTCCTTTAGTAGTTGGGGGTAGGGCTCTGACCTTGAGATGGAATTGAGCAGGGGAGCTGTGTGCTAGCTTTTGTTCTATAAATGGTCTGCCTTGCTGCAGCTGCAGCTCACCCAGAAGATGAGAGGAAGGGGCCTCTCCTGTGGGTCCTTTAATTTGCCTACATCCCTTGCTGAGCAGGTGTCTGGAGAGATGGAAATCTTACTCATCTGGGAGCAGTTTCCAAGCCTGAAGCTGACCCAGCTCCTGTTCTCTGTGGAGAGTAAAAGCATCATTCATCATCATTCTCAGTAAGGCTGCTCTTTCTTTTTTTTTTTAGTCTACTTACATTTTTTTAAAAAATGGAGGTATAACTTATATATAGTAGAGTCCACAGATTCTAAGTTCCCTACCATCCCAGCAGGGTCCCTTGGGTCCTATCCCAGCAGTACTCTTAAAAGCTAGCACTATTTTGTCATGTTAGGTTGACTTTTGAAATTCAACTACTTCATTTCTTCCCTTCTGTTTTTTTTTTTTTAATATTTATTTATTTATTTATTTAGGCTGTGCTGGGTCTTAGTTGTGGCATGTGGGATCTTCATTGCGGCCTGTGGGATCTTTTTTAGTTGCAGCGTGCGGACTTCTTAGTTGCGGCATGCGAACTCTTAGTTGCAGTACACGTGCGGGATCTAGTTCCCTGACCAGGGATCAAACCCGGGACCCCTGCATTGGGAGCGTGGAGTCTTACCCACTGGACCACCAGGGAAGTCCCTTCCCTTCTGTTTTTACTATCTGATCATCCAAGTAATGTTTATTGCAGAAAATTTGGGAAGTACAGAAAAGAGTAGATACTAAAGAAAAAGATACCTATACTCTTACTACTCAAAGGCCTATTATACTTTGAAATGACTAGAGTTCTCAGTATTTTTTTTATCGAACTATGTCTGGTTTTTCTGTTGGTTCTCTTCGAGGGTCTCATGCCTCCTTGCTTTTGTAGAATGCCGTTTTTTGGAATGGCAAACATCTATGCTCATTCTTTACATCTTGATAAAGCCCTACCTCACCTATGAAGCCTTCCCCAAGCTCTCCCCCTTCTCTCCCTCTTGTCCCTGTAACGTTTGGTACATACCTATATTGCCTTTGTCTTCCTGTGGTGCGGATGTTTGTGTACATACCTGTCTCTCCAAAACACTCTTAGCAAGCTCCTTGAAAGCATAGACTGCATAGTGCCCACCAGACTGCCTAGGACAGACAGGATCTCAGTAAATATTTGTTGAAAGAGTGAATGAATGAATAAACAAATCAATGGAATCTTGTAAGTGTTGAGGAATAAAATGCATGTTTAGTGGCAAGAATGAACAATTCTCACTTTATTCAGTCTTATCTGTGGAATGTCAAAAAGGAAAAAGAGCATTTTAGAGTACTGTTTACTTTTCTGAAAGCTTTTACATAATTACTTTATTTGATTTTCCATAACAAGTCTAAGAATGCATCCCAATTTTTTTTTTGTTTTGGCTGCACCACGTAGCATTTGGGATCTTAGTTCCCTGACCAGGGATCGAACCCATGCTCCCTGCAGTGGAAGCGTGGAGTTTTAACCACCGGACCGCCAGGGAAGTCCCCAATTTTTTTTTTGTTGTTTGTTTGTTTGTTTGTTTTTTACGGTACGCGGGCCTCTCACTGTTGTGGCCTCTCCTGTTGCGGAGCACAGGCTCCGGACACGCAGGCTCAGCGGCCATGGCTCACGGGCCCAGCCGCTCCGCGGCATGTGGGATCTTCCCAGACCGGGGCACGAACCCGTGTCCCCTGCATCGGCAGGTGGACTCTCAACCACTGAGCCACCAGGGAAGCCCCCCAATTTTTTTACATAAGGAAGTTATTACCAAAGGTAAATTTGAAGAGATCAGAGATTGTGCTATAAAATGGAAGGGGATGTTATTTAGGGAGGCTATCTGGAAGTTTGCAATACCTAGCATTTACTCACTGTTTATAAGGGCAAGGGAATTGGCATTTGTAGGCACAGTATACCTGGCAAATTACTTATGTAATCTTATTTAATTATTGCTACAACCCTATGAACTAGGTAGTATTATCTTCATTTAATAGCTGAAGAAACTAAGACTCAGAGAGCTGAATTAGTTTGTCCAAGGTCAAATAGGTAGTAAGTGGCAAAGCCAACATTTAAATCCAGTACTGACTCTCATGTTTCTAATCCATTTTCCGTTACGCGCCAAACTTCTTTTCGTAGCAGTCCATCTGTAGAGGGCCATATTCCTTACTCTTAATTGATGAAGCTTTGTGTGGCATGAAAATTCAGCAATCCTACTGTTGTTATTATTATTCCATTTCTCTTCAGTTTGAGGAATTTTTGATAAGATGAACACAACACTAATACCATATTTCTGTGTAGCCATCAGTCCTATCTCATCACCATATCTGATTCTCACAATAGTCTATTGATATAAGCCTAGATTGTAATCCCCTTTATACATGGAGAAACTGAGGCCCAGAGTGGGAAGGGACTTGCCTAACTAAATATCGCTAATAAGTGACAGGACCAAGACTTGACCCCAAGTCCAGTACTCTTTATTGTGGCATGTAGATCGGCTGAAGCCGACTGTGGTGAGCAGAGACGCTACAACAATGGTTCTCAACTTGGGGACGTTTAACAATGGTGATAATTTTGATTGTTATCACTTCGGGTGTACTACTGGCACTTTCTCGGTGTAGAGGTTAGGGATGCATACTCCAGCCCCCACAACAAGAATTATCTGTTCTAAAGGGTCAGTAGTGCTGATGTTGAGAAATCCTGCTCTGGAACTGGAGCAGGGGACTTCACCGGCGGTCCAGTGGTTAAGACTCCGCGCTTCCATCGCAGGCGGCACAGGTTTGATCTCTGGTTGGGAACTAAGATCCCACATGCCGCACGACATGGCCAAAAAATTTAAAAATAAAATAAAAATAGAACTGGAGCAGGATTGGGTTTCGTGCCTCATTTCTTCAGAAGAGGTGAAATACCCAAGGTTAGCCTCCAAAGTGTACCTAGTGATGAGCTTGATTCTTTTAGAACTGGCTATTCTTTAGTAGCAGTAAATACTTAATAATCACCAGGTTTTATTCAGAGTGTTATATTAGGCATGACTGGGGATGCAGAAAAGTATTCGACATGGTCTGTCCCCTCACGGAGTTTGGAGATTTCTGGAGGAGGCATAAGAGGATCTGGTTACTTTGCTCCTGGATGAAGATAAACAGCCCTAGATTGCAGGAGCTACTGCATGCAGTAGTGGCTGTACTCAGGGACTACCTTGACTGAAGTGGTGCTGCTGGCTTAAGAGAACCCTCCCAATAGCTGACTCTTCCTTCCCACAGTTATGCGATGCCCACCAAAACCGTGGAGGTGTTGCAGTTGCAGGACCAAAGCAGGAAAATGCTCCTGGACTCAGTTCTTACCACCCATGAGCGAGTGGTTCAGGTAGGTACTCTGGGAGAAATTTGAAATGTATTTGCCTCTCCTGGTTCTTTTCTCTATCCTGATCTCTTGGTTGAGCTTCAAACCTGCTATCCAGTTGTCTACTGGGTTTCTCCGTTAAAATGGTCCACAGGTGCCCTCACTCAGTGTATACAAAACTAATTGTAGAGGGACTGACGTTTTTTTCCTGTAATCCTCCTCACCTTTGAGCTTAATGCTTGACCCTTCTTTGCCCTTGGGTATCCATTCATTCTCCAAATTCAGTGGCTTCTACCCCTAAAAATCTTTCAGATCCATCCACTTTGCTGTACTATCATATCAATGTGATCGTGTCATTGTCCTGCCTAGAACACCTCAGTGGCTTCCCTTTCGCTCTGTACCCATTAGCAGTCACTCCTCTTTCCCCATCCCCCCAGGTCCTGGCAACCACTAATCTGCTTTCCACTTCTATGGTTTTATCTCTTCTAGGCATTTCTTCAAGTGGAATTATATAAAATATGGCCTTTTATATCTAGCTTATTTCACTTAGCATAATGTTTTCAAGGTTCATCCATGTTGTAGCATGTATCAGTATTTCATTCCTTTTTACTGCCAAGTAATATTCCAACAAATGGACATCACCCCTTTTTGATCCACTCAAGAAACATATCAGGAAGGTAACCAGAGGTATGTTAAGGTAGTAAAACCCTAAATTTGTGTTAAAATTTTTAATAATTAAAGTACTTACAATCTTGGTTCTTTAAATATTATCAGGAATAAATTATTTGAGCTACATTTTATGACAGCTCTAACTTGCCACTGAGGCTCACAGGATAAAGTTTGAACTCTTTGATTAGCACCTAAGTGCCTTCATGTTACTCCTCCTGCTTTTCTTCTTCACACCCCCTTTCATTCCAGCCACACATGTCACTAGTTTCAATTCCCTAGTACTGTAATTTTCCTCCACATTTTACTGAATACTGCTTCCTCTGCCTTAAAAAAAACTCCACACTACTGCTGAATTCTCCCAATTTAGTCCTGTATTTCAAGACTCTAACCAGATGTTACCTCTTTTGGAAGCTTTTTCTGACCCTCCTCATTGTTAGGTAGGTGTTTCTCTTGTGGGTTCCCACAGCCCACTGCATGCCCTTCTACCACACATCTGATTTAACTCTGGATTCTCGGCACAGGGTCTGACAACAACAGGTCCCAGTCTATGTGGGTAAACCTGAGTTGATTCAGAAAGTCATCCTGGACTTGACCTCTTGATCCAGTTATGACATTCATTGCCTACAAGAGCAGATATTGGCCATGACCATCTTAGTAACCAGACAACTTGGCAGATCAGCAAGAGAAATCCTGGAAAGTCTGGGCTCCAGAAACAGCTCTGGATGTTAATCCTTCACCCAAAGGCCCTCTAGCTCTGCTGGAGCTGACATTTGAGCCCTTGCCATGTCTGCCCAATCACCTAGGTTTCAGTGCCTCTCTTAGAGCATCTTCTTTCCTTTTGCAGATCAGCGGTTTGAGTGCTACATTTGCAGAGATTTTCTTGGAAATAATCCAAAGCAATCTTCCTGAAGGAGTCAAACTGTCAGTGAAGGAGGTATGTGCTAATATGAGAAGAGGCCTGCTGGTGGGCTCAAAATATGGAATAGAAAATCTGAACTGGCTGGCTTTAGAAACAAAGACATATGAATAATTTAGCCCAGATAAAAATAATAAGGAAAGGTGTGCAGGCTGCTTTACCGTGATCATTTTTCTGGCTTTCGCAGTGCATCAGGGATGATGCTTTATAGACCATGGAAGTTGAACTCCATCACAGCATCCTGACATTAGGCGTGAGCCCATTACACCCACAAATTCCCTCCCTTGAGGCAGTTGTATAGCAGAAAGAACATGATTTACGATCACATACAGTGTAATTAAACAGAACACAAATAGGGAAATGTACTTAAGGCAGGGAGAAAGTCCAATTCAACTTTGAATCCTTGATACCTAATATAAGTCTGGTACATAGTAGCTACTCAGTAAAAGTTAGTTGAATCTAAATCATTTTCTGCAGAGCTGGCTGATGGATCCTTTTCTGATGCTGGGCATATTTGAGTAACTCTGTAGTAATTCCCTCTTATCTTCTTTTTCTTCTCCTCAGCACACTGAAGAAGACTTCAAAGGAAGGTTCAAAGCTCGGCCAGAACTGGAAGAACTGCTAGCCAAGTTGAACTAGCTCACTGTAGACCCTTTCATGCCAGCACTGGTGATACTGAGTGGCAATGGAAAGAGCTTCCTGGGTGGCCAAAGTTAAGAAGGAGACCCTGACCCTCAATATCATAAGTACCCATCTCCACAGCCAGGAGTGCCTCCTCTCCTCTGTGAAGGAGTGCTTGCCGATTGTCACCACTTTCCTTTGAGCCAACCCTAGGTATCTTCCATCTAATAAAAATCTGCTAATGATGGATGTGTGTGTATGTGAGAAGTCAGTCCATCCTGTCGAGTATATTTAACTAAGGGATTCAATTTCTCTTTGCCTGGTGCTTTAGCACATAAGCATGTCCCCCTTCAGTATTTCTCCAATTAGAGTGAACTCATCCTTTAAATCAACCTGGCATGGAGTCCCTTTAGTGAAGCAGACAATCATAAGTAAACTCTCTGTGGATAGGAGACATAGGGAGGGAGATTTTGTATATGAAAAAACCCTCCAGATAGGATCAGGGTCTGTCCATAAGTGAAAAAAAAGTACTTTGTGGAGTAGTGAGTGACCTGTCATAAGTATGCAGGTAGATCTTACATAACTGCAAATTAGGGTTGCCTGGAAGGAGTTTAAGCAAAGAATTAAAGGTTGATCTTGGTCACGTGTCAGAAAACTACTACTTGTGAGCCAAATCCCAACAACTGCCTATTTGCATTTTTTTTTTTTTTTTTGCGGTACGCGGGCCTCTCACTTTTGTGGCCTCTCCCGTTGCGGAGCACGGGATCCGGATGCGCAGGCTCAGCGGCCATGGCTCACGGGCCTAGCCGCTTCGCGGCATGTGGGATCTTCCCAGACTGGGGCACAAACCCGTGTCCCCTGCATCAGCAGGCGGACTCTCAACCACTGCGCCACCAGGGAAGCCCGCCTATTTGCTTTTTAAAAATAATTTATTGAGGCGAAATTCACATGTCACAAAACGAACCATTTTAAAGTGAATAATTCAGTGGTATTTAATGCATTTGCAGTGTTGTGCAACCTCTATCCAGTTCCAAAACCCCATTGCCTGTTTTTGTAAATAAAGGCTTATTGGAATAGAGCCCTGCTTATTCATTTACACACTGTCTGTGGCTGCTTTTATGCTACAATGGCAGAGTTGAGTAGCTGTGACAGAGACTGTTATGCAAAAACATTTTTACATGGTCCTTTATAAAAATAGTTTGTCAAACCCTGATCCAAGTCATTGGTTCTCAAACTTAAGCATACATTAGAATCACCTGCAAGGCTTTTTTAAAAATTTATTTATTTATTTATTTATGGCTGTGTTGGGTCTTCGTTGCTGCGCGGGCTTTCTCTAGTTGTGCTGAGTGGGGACTACTCTTCATTGTGGTGTGCAGGCTTCTCATTGCGGTGGCTTCTCTTGTTGCGGAGCATGGGCTGTAGGTGCACGGGTTTCACTAGCTGTGGCACGTGGGCTTCAGTAGTTACGGCTTGCAGGCTTTAGAGCGCAGGCTCAGTAGTTGTGGCACACGGGCTCAGTTGCTCCGTGGCATGTGGGATCTTCCCAGACCAGGGCTGGAACCCGTGTCCTCTGCATTGGCAGGCGGATTCTTTTTTTTTTTTTTTTTTGCGGTATGCGGGCCTCTCACTGTTGTGGCCTCTCCAGTTGCGGAGCACAGGTTCCAGACGCACAGGCTCAGCGGTCATGGCGCATGGCCCCGGCCGCTCCGCGGCATGTGGGATCTTCCCAGACCGGGGCACGAACCCGTGTCCCTTGCATCGGCAGGTGGACTCTCAACCACTGCGCCACCAGGGAAACCCCAGGCGGATTCTTAACTGCTGTGCCACCAGGGAAGCCCCTGCACGGCTTTTTAAAACACAACTTACTAGGCTCCATCCCCAGATTTTCTGACTTAGGAGATCTTGAGCAAGGGTGATGCTGCTGCTGGTCCAGAGTTACCTCTTTCAGAACCACTAGTCTAAGTTGACCTCTAATGTTTTTCCTATTCTGAGCATTAGTGCATTCATACTTTTGTACAGAATAGCTATAATTTATTGAGCTAGACCCTATGCTAGGTACTACATTAGCTCTAATCCTCACACCAGTTTTTTAGGGTGTATATATGAGTGTGCGTGGTATCTGAGTGTGAGTGTATCACACTCAAATTTATTGAGCCCTAATTTGCTATGTACTTTATACAGATTATCCTTGAGATTGATGGTATTATCTCAGTCTTACAGGTGGAGAAACTGAGGTTTGGAGAGATGAAGCGACTTCCTAGGGTCACACAGTTATTAAGTGGCAGACCCTGTCCCCCCCTACTTTTCTGGGATACCCCTGCATAGAGGTCTGTGGGACCTTAGAGCATTCTTAGCATTGTGTGTACTTTTCTGAAACTCATCAGTTTCAGTCCTGAAGTTATTTTGTTTTTTTCGAGTTGGTTTCCAAAGGCAACAAGAGGAAACTCAGATTTCCTCTCAAGGTGTAACACTAAGGGAGGGCTGTCAAGATAGCAGGTGCCTTCAATTAAAATGCTTTTCTGAATTCAAATTGAAAGCTCAGCAGGCCAGGACTTACAAGTGAACCCCACTGGGAGTGTGGGCAGAATTTGCCAGGTGAGGACTGATATTTTGGTTGCAGAATTGCTCATTGCTGAGTCTCCTTTAGGGAAGATGAAAGAGCAGCAGCTAATGGATGAGTGTAAAGTTGGAGGATGTGTAGTGACTTGAAGATAAAAAGGTGAATAAACGCATGTATACACACAGATACACGCTGCCTCCATATCATGTGGGCAATGGGCAATGTCATGTGGACCCCATTTAGGAGTCTGGAATACAGTGGTATTTTCCAGTTGCCCACCTTTCCTTGTTATTAATTTGTGAAAGCAAGATGTAAGGTTTCATAAATTGACAAGATATTAGAGCTAAGGGACCTTGGAACCCAGCCAGCCTAAAGCAAGTGCAGGTTAGGGGCCCAGGAAGGGCAGTGCTTTACTCAAGGTGACAGGGCACCTCGTTGGCAGAGCTGGGAGCAGGATTCAGATCTCTTGATTCCCAGCGCATCACTTTCCATTACATCACTGAGGGATGAGTCAGGCTTATCTCTTAAACTGGAGGCTGCTGGGTTCTGTCACCTTGGAGCTCTTGTGTCACTGACCTAGTTGATTTATCCTCTGACCAGAGCCAAAGGGCTTTTGGTGCTCATGATTAGTCTGACCTGAAGCAAATGGAAATTGCTCATAATGCCTTATCCTGGTAAGAGGGACAGATATTCTGATTGCTAGAACCTCAGAGTTACAAAACAATTATAAGCTTCATTTGATTTTCCAGAGGGAAATGAACTTCCCTAGGATCACATGGCAGTGAAATCAAATGGAATGCAAATCTCTGGGCTCTAGGTTGAAAATACCGTCCCCTCCCTTCCTGAGACAACCTACAATATTATAAAGAAAAGAGGCAGACAAACCTGAGCTATTCCTAATTTCTGCATTTATTAGTTTTGAGGCCTCAGGTGAGTTATTTTAACCTCATTAAGCCTCAGTTTTCTGATCTGTAAAGTGAGGATAATCCCTTGTAGGAGCTTGAGATGGAGAAGATGTACACAATGGGCAAGCATGTGCTCAGTAAATGTTAGATTGCCTTCCCATCTAAACTTCACTATACGTTTTTTTTAAAAAAAGTTTATTTATTTAGGCTGCGTCGGGTCTTACTTGCAGCACACGGGATCTTCCTTGCAGCATGTGGGATCTTTGGTCGCGGTGTGTGGGCTTCTCTCTAGTTGTGGTGCGCAGGCTCCAGGGCATGCAGACTCTGGAGCACGCAGGCTTAGTTGCCCTGTGGCATGTGGGATCTTAGTTCCCCGACCAGGGATAGAACCCGCGTCCCCTGCATTGGAAGGTGGATTCTTAATCACTAGACCACCAGCGAAGTCCCTCACTATACTTTTGTAAAAGACTATTTTTTCATTGAGGTATAATTTATCTATAGTGAAACACACAGATCTTAAGTGTATATTTGATCAGTTTTGAAAATGCAGTCACCTATGAAACCTACACTTATATCAAGTTAAAGAACATTTCCATCTCCCCAGAAAGTTCCCCTACATTCTTTCATAGTCATTCTTCCCAGAAACAACCACTAATCTTATTCCTATTGCCATAGGTTAGTTTCACCTCTCTAGAACAACGTATAAATATCATAGAGTTATAACCTTTTGTGTCTGACTTCATTCACTTACCCTGATGTTTTACCCACATTGTTGCATGTAGCCATAGTTCATTCCTTCAGCATACTTTTAGTTTTGAACCCAGTTAGGGTTAAATTATGCCTAGTACCGCTGCAAAAACATGAGAGCTAGGCAAGAGAGAAGAAAAGGAAGGTCAATGGATTAGGAATCAGGGTAGCTGGGTTCTAGTTTTGGCTCTATCAATGCATAACCTTTGAAATAATCTGTTTTGATCTTCATTTTACAGATGACTTAACTGGCCCAGGAGGGAAAGAAACTTGTCCAAGTTCACAGGGATAGCTCCAGGTCACTCGATTCCTGGTTGAGTACACATTACTGAGATTTTTAGAAATGGATTTTTATGTGGATCAGTAACTTTCAAGAAGGACCAAATGTCCAGGTTAAATGGGCAGTTTTCCTAGTGAAGGCCAGTGGATTTCTCAGCTTGTTAGTCCCTTTCTTCTGGCTGGGGATGCCTTATTCCTCCACCATCGAGCCTAAAAATTGCCAGCTGTGGATTCTGAAAGAGTATTTTTTAGTTGGAGAGAAAGAAATGGAATCTGGATATTCTGGCCATTCAGACAATGTAGCAACACTCAGAGACCCCAGTCCCCACTGTTCTAGGATGTAAAGTATATTTAGGGAAGGAAAGCTCTCTGAGCATGCATTGGGTTATGTCTAGAACTAGACCTGCTGACAAGGCACTACAGACAGAAGCAGCCAATGTGTCTTGTGCTTGTTTAATCTGTACTTTAATCTTCGTGCCATTTTTGTCTTCAAATGTCTGATCTCCCTGGAGAATTTGAAATGATTCATTTAGTTCTTATACTCCCCCTGGAATAACTTTTATTCTCAGACATTTCAGATTTAGAGAACAGCTCCATGTTTAGACAGAATAGCCAGGCTCTGAAAGATGTCCGGGCTCTGAGGAATGACAACTCTTCAGAAGATAACTGCTTAAAAAAAAAAAAAAAAAAAGAAGATAACTGCTAGAGAAGGGAAGAATCCCTCCTGCATCCTCTGCCTGTTTTAAGTCCCTGCTGGAGCAGAGCACGGAGCCCTAGCATTCCATACAGTGGAAAAGTATATAAGGTTTCAACTTGGACTTCCTCCAGTTCTCCTCGGATTTCTAAAGTCAGCAGCACAGGATTTGGTCTGGCAACTTTACCCGAGGGAGGAAGAGTGGGAGGAGTATCTCATTACTCATCTAGTAAAACACTTTACAGTGCACCTTTGTACTGAGCACTGGCCATATCTCCAGCCAAGGAACTTGCAGAGAAGAGCCAAATCATGAGTCTGCCCTAGGCCTAGCCAACGGTGGCACCCAGCCAACAGATCTCTCCACTCATCCCTGGCACCAGGCCTCTCTGCAGAGGTAGATGTAGAGTGTATAGGGATAGGCATGGACCACCCTAAACTCCAGGTCCATGGCTGTGGGCTACAGAGCCGAGAGACTAAAAAAGCATACTAATCTAGAACACTGTGGGGAACTTGCACTGGTTAGTTTCCTTTTTTATAAAGCACTAAAAAAAAGTAAAATAATATGTATTTACACAGTAAGTATGGTTAC